AACATTGTATGCACATAACAAAACATAATATTCTCTGTAAACATATATAACTCTGATATAACATCAATAATTAAAATTTAAAAAAATTAAAGAAGAACATCAGCAACCATAACCCAAAACCACCTTTTACCTGATCACTTCACAGTGTCTTCTCTTGCTTCTCTGAACTTCCAGAGCAAAGAAAGTATTTTTTTTATTGTACTTCATCTTTCCTATCTATAGCTATTTGCATATTTGCCTGATCTTTCAACCAGTATAAAATTACTTAAGGGAATATTTCACTTTAGTAGAGCTAAATCACTTCACTACTAACTGTGTGCGCCTTTAGTGACTTAATCTATTTCCTCAACTGTAAGCTGGGGGCCACCAATTTATAGGTGTGCAGTGAGTATTGAGTTAATGAGAATGAACCTTCCAAAAAAGACTCTGATGTGTATTTTGAACTCAGACATTGGCTGCTAATACAATTTTTATATCCTTTTTGTCTATTTTAAGAAATAATTGAAAGACATCATATAAAAAATATGTAATTCTATTGAGAAATCCTAGAGAGGAACAAAAAGTTGGAGATAGATCCTTACTCTAGATAACTTTCAGCATAGATTGGTTTAAGACCCATTGCAACAAAAGTACATGAAATGCTTATTAATATTGCAACTTCCTGTCAAATAAGAATCTCTGGGATAGAATCTCAAAATATCTGTATCTTTAGTAAGCTTCTCAGATGATTCGGATACAGGCTACATTTTAAGAAGTTTGGTCAAAGGAAACTGGTCATCTCTGGATGTATTAATTGGTGAAACCCAGATGTAGGCTCTAAAATGCCCATGTGGAATGTTTCACTCATTTTGTCATCAAAGAGGACTTGCTTGGCGTGGGTGCAGTCAGCTGCGATCCTCTCTTGTCTCTATCCACCACAGTGAAGATAATTGATTTCTCAGTCTCTTAAAGCTGATGGACATGGCTCCTTGGAAGTCCCTTGTAAAAGCTATGGGGCTATTTCATTTGCAGAATTGAATAATTAACATAAATTGTTGCATGGTACAATATAAATCCACCGTGAGCCTGATCTTGATCTAGGTGTCTACCATGATTGAAGGCAGCAGCATGACCCTTTACCCACTGTAGAGCTCAGTGGAATACATTCCACAAAGCGCAAGGAGATTATGTTATTCTCCAGAGTCTACTTCAATGAACCTTTATTAGATTTTAAAATTCCCAGCTAACTCCCAGATTTTAAAATTCTACCTGATTTCAGTTACCTGGAATGTTTTTTCTGAATTCAAGTTATGACCGTGGAGTCACAGAAGGTATCTTGTGCTTCGAACAGAACTGGATTTGATTTTTGGTTCTCTGTGACCTTAGGCAAGTCATTCAACCTTTGTGACCCTCAGTTTTTCCATGTGTAAAATGGAGATATTGAAAGACCTCAAAGAGTGTTGTGAGAATTAGGAATACACTTGAGAGCCCCTGTTACTCATGTGAAATGCTCAAGAGATGCCAGTTTTCTGTTCCTTTAAAACATGAGTGCAGTATCAACTGTAGAAGGGAAAAAAAAGACACCAAATATATTCTCTTAACTCACTCTCTCAAATTCAGGACTATTGACATTTTGAGCCTGATAATTTTTGTATTTGAGGGAGGAAGGGAGAAATGTGCCCAAAGCATTGTAGCAGGGTTAGTTTTAGCATCATCCCTGGCCTCTGTCCACTAAATGCCAGTAGCACTGCCCAGTTGTGACAATCAAAAATGTCACCAGTCGTTGTCCATGTTCCCTGAAGGGCAAAAATCACCCCGTTACAGATCACTGTCCTGGTTCTTGGCCTGTAATTTTAGGGCATTAAGTTTTAAAATCAAACTAAGAAATCATATTTTCAGTGTTTTACCAAGCTAATATCAAAAGGGAAGATCCTTGTTGAGCATTCAGTGACAACTAGAGGCATGAGCTGGAGCACTGATGGGTTGAATGGCATCAAGCTATTAGAGCATGCTGTCTCTTTCTAAAATAGGGATGTAGACCAGAGAGGCACAGTGGCTAGTTCTGTGAAGGGGATTGCCAACATTTGCCTCTGCAACCTGACTCTTTGCTTCCATTGATGACCAAGCATTTCAGTACTTTTTCACTTGACTTTAATCAGGAACTGTTAGACTTAGAGCTTTGCTCTTTGCATTGGGATGGCTTTGTGAATTATTATAGGACTCTAACTGGTGGTGGTTTATAGATGAACCGTAATTCTCGGTTCCTGAGATGCACCTTCCTGTTGACCCCACCAACTCACTGGACAGTCAGTCTCTCTGCTATCAGCCTCCCTTCAGCACAACTGATATTTCAAATACTCTTTTCACAAGCAGGGCTATGGCATGATGCTTTCTTTCACATTCTGCATCTCTCTTGGCATCATGTTCACAAGATAACAGGAGAAAGTGGAAAAGTCAAAGCTACACAAATCACACTGAGCCCCCAAATGCCCTGTATCTTTTTCTCCTGGTAAAATTGAGGTAGATGCAGAGAAATTTTTGGTCATTTATTTTGTATTAATTTCTTAGAAGTTGCTTTGTCCTCATTTTACACATAATTAGCATTTAATAAACGTTTGTTGTATAGAAAATGTTTGTATGAATAAACAAATGTATGATATTGTAATAACAGTGGTTATTATTAGTATTATTTGAGACAGAGTCTTGTTCTGTCATCCAAGCTAAAGTGTAGTTGAATGATCTCAGCTTACTGCAACCTCTGCCTCCTGGGTTGAAGCTATTCTCCTCCTTCCACCTCTCGAGTAGCTGGGATTACAGGCACCTGCCACCATACTTTGCTAATTTTTTATTTTTTGTAGAGATGAAGTTTCACCATGTTGGCCAGCTTGGTCTCAAACCCCTGACCTTAAGCAATTGTCTGTCTTGGTCTCCCGAAGTGCTGGGATTACAGCTGTGAGCCACCATGCTTGGCTGGTTTTTTATTTTTATTTTTATTTTTTTGATACTAGCTGCTGATTGCCTTTTAGGGCTTATATGGGCCAGGTATTACAACTGTCTGGGGATTATCCTAGTTCATCTTCATAATAGTTCAATAAATTCTGAACTTCTTTTATCAGCAGATTTTAACTTAAGTAGTTTTCCTGAGCTTATCCATGTGACACGTGACCAAAGTGGGATTTGAACTGCTACCCAAAGCACATATTTACAGTGGCTCAGGACCCTTTCATCTAACTGGTGAAACCCAGATGTAGCCTCTAAAATGACAATGTGTGATGTTTCACTCATTTGGTCATTGGTTGGAGTGGTGGCAGTCAGCTGAAATCTTACTCCTACTTCTATGCATTACAGTGAAGATAACTGATTTCTCAGACAGTCTCGAAAAGGTCATAGGCATGGTTCCTGGACCTCCCTTGTAAGAACTGTGGGGCTTTAGTTCTCAACACAACACAAGCCCCAAGGGAGCACAGCTGTGGTGTGATTTCTTCTTCAGCAAGAGGCTTCAGTGTCTTCAACCAGGAAGGCCGAGGGGTCAGGGAATTGTGACTATGATAATGGAAGTTCTGCAAAATCACGCCGAGGGTGAAGGCAGCTGCAAGTTAATGCCATTTGATGATTCTTATGTAAAGTGCACCAGAAAGTGTCACAGAATAAGCTTTCTCATTCTGTCCACCATGACACCTTATTTAATTCAGGTATGATAGGTTTTAAACAAGAGTGTAAAAAGGTTTTAGTTACTGGGATCTTTCTTCCTAGGAAAAGGTCTTATATCAAGGTTTCTCTCTCTCCTTTTACCTTGTTCCTGACATTAAGCTGTTAATTCATTGATATTAAAATGCTTTATAAAAAAACCTCTAAACTGGTTGGCATTTTCAAACATCAAAAATATAATACCAACGCTGCCAGCTCTCATTCCCGGTAGCTTATGTTTTGGATACCAGCCAAGTATCAGCTGATGAAACTCTAAGAAGCCAGGTACGTTAAAAACCACAGCTGCCCAAAATAGAAATTAGTAAGATGGTTACCAGTAAAGTGAAAATAAATTTTATGTACTACCTCTAAATATAGGTTAATGAAGTAAGTCCTTAATTTTCCTAAGTGAAAAGTAGACTGCTGATTAATGTTAAGATTTAGCTGGCTGTTTTAACATGTAAGATTTAGCTGGTCCTTTTTGAAAATAAGATTTAAAAAAATTCTTATTCATTATTTTCTTTCATGTAACAATCTCGAGCACTTTTCTGTCTGTTAATCCATTGAATTAAATCTTCACAAGAAGTGTGCCAATGAGGTGTTATTCCCCACTGGGTTTTGCTTTTGAGGAAACTGAGGCCTGGCTAAATTAAGGACTTGCTCAGCCTGAAAATGACTGTGTGAGAATTTCAATCCAGTTTTTTTTCCACTATACATTTCCTGCTCTTTTCATTTAAGTAAGCTGTTTTTTTATAGAACTTAACAGTTTTTACTTTCACTGTAAAACATACTTAGCTAGCCAGGGGTGATGGTACATGCCTGTAATCCCAGCTACTTGGGAAGGTGAGGCAGGAGAATTACCTGAACTCGGGAGGTAGAGGCTGCAGTGAGCTGAGATGGCACCGCTGCCCTCCAGCGTTGTTGACAGAATGGGAACTTGTCAAAAAAGAAAAATATATATTTGGCCATTATATGTTCTTTCCTGCTGGAAATCTGTATGTTCATCTGTGAAACAGGCTGCGTCTAGAACTTCTGCTGTTACATGGAACTTCTCAGTTAACTTTAATATTCGATTCAGATAATAATATTCATTTATTTGGGATTTACTGGGGCAGAAGGCATGGAGTTGGAGAGGTCATAGATAATTCCAAGTTAACAATGAAGCAAAATTAGAGTCACTTTTTAACAATCTCAAAATGAATTTATCATTTTGTGTGAGTAATGTCAGGCATCTGAGACCTGTTGCTGAGTCACAGTTACCTTTAATAGTGTAAAAAAAAATGTCCTGATGCTTAGTAACTCAAAACAAGACAAATTTGTTTTGCTCATGAATCTGTAATTTGGTCAGGATTTCATGGGATAGTTTATCTCTGCTCTACATTACAACTGTTGAAGTGGATCAAAGGCTGAGTGGTAGAATCATTTGAAGCTTCATTTACTCACTGGGCTGGTGGTTGACGCTGGCTACTGGCTGGGGACCTCAGTTCCACTCCATGTAAGCCTATCCATCTCATCTATCTGTCTAGGCTGGTTTGTGCCTCTTCACAGCATGGTTGCTGGTTGCTCAAGGCACACATCCTAAAAATGCAATCAAGAGAGACAGGTGGAAGCTATAGCCCAAGGATTCAGCCATGCAAAACGATATAGCAACATTTCTCCCATAGTCTATTGGATGGAATAATTTTAATCCCCCACCCAGATTTAAGGAGAGGCACATAGATCTTACTTGTGGATAGAGAGGAGTGTCACTAAAAAAGACAGCATGCAGAATGGGCCATCATTAGAATGCGTTGTCTTCCCAGAAGAGCTGGGTAATCTCATTAACAGTGGTTTCTGGAGTCCTAAAGGAAAGGCAAGAAGACAAAAAGGAGACATACAAGTTCTTGTTGAAATTAGTAAGTTAACAGTCACTTTTGTGGTCAGCCAGGTATGTATTCAGCTTAGGCACCTAAGGTCCTATATTGTCCTTATTAATCCTACTAACTTTGGTCTTTCTGGCATCGTTTAATTCTCCTGTATTCTGGCTTATGTTCTAAATTCAAGTGACTCCCTAGACCACCCCACCCCACCGCCTCCCCGCAAAAAAAAAAAAAAAAAAAAAAAAAAAACCACCATGGGACTCTTAATCTTGTTCGTCATGATAAAATACCTAAAACTCAGAATTGAGACTGACTCTAACTCAAGTTCACTTTTACTAGTTATTCCTCTTTTGTTTTGTAAGGTGGATCAGGGTGTAGAAGACAGGTTTCCTGGGGCCTGATTCATTTTGTGCCCTTGTTTAAGACTCATAGTGCTGTTACATAGACAACTGAACTGTAATTGTAGCATTAACATCCCCATTTAAAATAGATCCCATTTCCCTGAGGGAAATCATCCAACTCGTCTATTTTCCTGAGTAGGGCATCAGAAATGCTCCTGTCAGCTTATATGTAGTATGATACTTCATTATGAAGGCAACTTTAGTTTTCACATCCTTGCTGCACACCCTGCAGTACATTTAGAGCTTGAGGATTTCCCTTCCTAACATCCTAGATTCTTTCCATTTTCCTTTGATGCCCCAACCCCTAACTCAAATTCTGAGCTGTAGGTGGGTTCTGACCCAGATTTTATTGTTCCTAATGGGTCAAATTGATAACAATTGTTCAGCTGCAGTGCATAGAAATATCAGTTCAAAAACTCAGGTGTGCAAAATATTATTTTTGAATAAATAAACATATATTTCCTGCATCACTGTGTGTTAGAACCTGATGTTGGGCAGTCCAGTCTTCTGGCTTCCCATCTTTTCCCAGGTTCCCAGTGCCTTAGATGTTCCCCTAGCCTTGGCGCATGGCCACATAAAGCCACAGTTCTCGGTCATTGCTATGGTCTAAATGTTTGTGTCTTCTTGAAATTCATATGTTGAAATCCTAATCCCCAAGGTGATGGTATTAGAAGGTGAGGCCTTTGGGGAGATGATCAGGTTATGAAAGGCAAGCCTTCATGGATGTGATTAGTGGCCTTAGAAAAGACACCCAAGGAAGCCCCCTTGCCCCTTTCACCATGTGAGGTCACAGTGAGAAGGCAACATCTAAGAATCAGAAAGCAGATTCGCACCAGACACTGTATTTGACAGCAACTTGATTTTAGACTTCCCAACCTTCAGAACTATGAGAATTAGATCATCGCTCAGTTAATAATATCATGTGATGGCAGCTCTGATGGACTAAAATAATCATCATCCCTCCACATGAAATACTAGAGATGTATGTATAATACCTTTTCCTAGACATGAGTTCATGTTTGATCAACCTCACTGAGGGATATTCTCAGGTCTGCCTCTCAGGTACTGCTATGCTCTTTAGATAAGAAAAGAACACCGAGTAGCCCTCCCAAGCCACTTTAGACACATAGAAACTCAGGGGGCACAAGATCTCTCACCACTTTTCTGCATGCAAAATCATTTATGGATCCCCAGTTCTGAATGGATGGAAGGGAGGTAGATGAAGTCCCTTGAGGTCTACCTGCCTCCACATGCCAGGTGGACAGTTCTGTTCTATTGTTCCTTCTCTGTGTTGGAGTGTGGAACTCAGAATCTCACTCTCCCCTGGGCTTTACCCTGGAAAGTGACTCATATAGGGTTCCAACCTCCCTTCCTTCCAGCTCATTTTGGAGGTTCATAGTACTATTCAGGTTTTTGTTAGACCATAGCCTCTGAAATCTTCCTCTAACCTGTAAAGAAATGGAAAATGTTGAAATGGGCTAGTTCTTTCTGATCAAAATCATTGTAAAATGACTGGACCTTGCCTTTTAAAATCTAGTAAGTCAGTCTAGTAATTTGAATCCTATATTATGCTATATCATCTTTTCTCTAAGTACAAATGCAATCAACTTGGGGTGGGGTGAGGAAGACTGCAGTTTGAACAAATGAAAAACAGGCAATGAACGGCAGTCAAAGGTTCCTACTCCTGTTCTTCTGTTTCACCAATTCTCCCAGGAACTTGAGATGTTCCTTTGTACTTCCATATGTACCATCTTGTCTATGCTTACGTTTCCATTTACAGCATCTATTGCTACTGTGTTAGGGCTATGACACCTGCCCTCCTCCCCATCTCCAGAGATCAGTTTATTGCCTCCACCCCAGAACATTCTCCCCAGATTCACACATATATTTGGCAGTCAGAAAATATCTTTCCATACATTTATGATGTAGTTACAGCTGTTTCTACATCTCAAGACTTCCAGAACCCTTTCACTTTGTCTCAAGTTCATTTCTCCAGATTTGTAGAAGACTGGAGGAATTAGGTAACATGTCAAGGTCACAGGCTGGTAGGTGACAGAATGGCCTGTGAAACCCATGGCTATGTAATGAGTTCTTTCTCTCTGAAATCTATATGTCAAAGCCCTAAACCTCAATGTGATGATATTTTTGAGATGAGGTCTTTGGGAGGTACTTTTGATGAGGTAATAAAGCTGGGCCCCTTATGATGGGATTAGTAGTCTTAGAAGGAAAAGGCTGGGCACAGTGGCTCATGCCTATAATCCTAGAACTTTGGGAGCCTGAGGCAGGCAGACTGCCTGAGCTCAGGAGTTTGAGACCAGCCTAGGCAACATAGTGAAACCCCATCTCTACTAAAATACAAAAATTTAGCCAGGTGTGGTGGTGTGCACTTGTAGTACAGCTTCTCAGGAGGCTGAGACAGGAGAACTGCATGAACCTGGGAGGTGGAGGTTGCAGTGAGCTGAGATGTTGCCACTGTATGCCTGCATGGGCGACAGAGCAAGACTCTGTCTCCCAAAAAAAAAAAAAAAAAAAGGAAACAAGAGAGCTAGTGTTCTCTCTTATTCTCTCTTATTCTCTCTTATATTCTCTCTCTCTCTCTCTCTCTCTCTCTCTCTCTCTCTCTTTGCCATGTAAGGACACAGCAAGAAGGCAGCTGTCTTCCAGACAGAAAGAAGACCCTTGTATGAATTGGCTAGCACCTTGATCTCAGAATTCTCAGTCCTCAGAACTAGGAAAAAGATTTCTGTTGCTCAAGCTATGGTTTTCAATGGTATTTTATTATGGCAGACCAAGCTAACAAACATTTTCACGTTTCTTCTCTTTTTTTTATCCAACTTACCACATTTCCTTCTTATATTCTCCCATGACTCCATGATAAGACACTGTCATCATTTGTCTTCCATCGTGCCTTTCAACAAAAAGTTAGATCAGAAAAGGGGAAGGTGCAATTGATATACAGAAAAATTTTTCTCCATAGTAAAATTGCTCAACTATTTCCTCTCCCATAATTAATTCTTGAAACCAAGCTTCATGGTTGCTTGTAGCAAACAGAACATAAAAGAATGTATAAGTAAGTTTTGCTGGCAATGTGCACTGTTTTGCTGGGCAGGACTTTAATGCAGAGTGGTAAGCAGGCATTTCTGACCTGGTAGAAGGGTGCACTCCTGCTGTATTCCATTGTGTGGACCAAAGGCTAGGGCTAATAGCACTTAAATAATAAACGTGCTGCTTTACAGTATGCATTATTTAAATTTGACGGAAATGAACAAATCTGGGAAGACTGCAAGGGATGTACTTTCCTGACAATAATATCATCAAGAAAAGACATTAAGAAAAGGGAGAAAATCTTCAAGATCTCAACAAGAGACTGTTTTTTGAATCCAACTTACCACATAGTCATTTTACTGTTAGTCATCATATTTTGCCTTTGTGACTGGCATGGTCACTGTTGCATTTGCAGATAGGTGGATCAGGAGATATTGGGGATTAAGGACTTAGTTATAGAAATGAAGGGATGGGGAGAAGAAGGATTCCAGGAAATGGGACTTTGAGAAAAATAGAGGACTTTATACAATTTCAAGACTTTAAGGGTAACTATGGGTTGTCTCTCAACATACATTTCTGGGGTTTGTTGTTAATACTTTTTCAAGGTAATAAGCTCCAGTGTGTGTCTCAGAAAGCCCCTCTTCTATCTTGCTCCTAGATAGATCATGGAGATTAGGAGGATACTGGATCTGAGAATTCAACATGAGCCCTAAGTGAATTCAGATAATACTCTGAATCACTATTCACTGATCCTCAAAGAAATTCTATGGGCCACATCTGTCAGAATTCTCTGGTATTAAAAATAGCATACTGGGTCCCAGCCCAGATGAACTGAATCCAAATCTTTGGGAATGGAGTATGGGAAACTGATTTGTTTTTGGGGGATGTGATCTCCCTATGTTCCCAGGCTGGTTTCAAACTCCTAGACTCAAGTTATCCCCCTGCTTCAAGTTCTCAAGTAGATAGGATTACAGGCATCCATCACAGAGCAGAATGTACTTTTTACATTTTTATGTACATATGTATGTATGAATGAATGAATTATTTAGGGTGTACCTGTGCAGATTTGTTACAAGGGTATATTGAATGATGCTGAGGTTTGGGTTTCTATTGATTACATCACCTAAATAAGGAACACAGTACCCAGTAGAAACTTTTTCAGTCCTTTCCTTTGTTTCATCCTCCCCACTTTTTGATTCCCCAGTAACTGCTGTTCTCACCTTTATGTCCATGTGTATCCAATGTTTAGCTCCCACTTATAAGTGAGAACATGTGATATTTGGTTGTTTATTTCTGTATCAGCTCACTTAGGATAATAGCCTCCAGCTGCATCCATATTCCTGCAAAGAAAATTATTTTGTTCTTTTTTATGGCTGCATAGTATTCCATGGCATCTATGTACTGCGTTTTTAAAATCCAATCCACCATTGATGGGTACCAGAATTGATTCGCGTCTTTGCTATGTGATTAATAATACTGTGAAAAACATATGAGTACATGTGTCTTGTTGATAGAATGATTTATTTTTCTTTGGGTAGATTCCCAGTAACAGAATTGATGAGTTGAATGGTAGTACTATCTTTAGTTATTTGAGAAATCACCGAACTGCCTTCCACAGTGTCTAAACTAATGATTCCAACAATATATAAGTATTTCTTTTTCTTTGCAAACTTGCCAACACTGGTTATTTTTTGACCTCTTAATAACAACCATTCTGACTGGTGTGAGAAGATATCTCATAGCGGTTTTGATTAGTGTCTCTCTGATAACTGGTGATGTCAAGCATTTTTTTTTTCCTGTATGTATTAGCTGCTTGTATACCTTCTTATAAGAAGTGTCTGTTCATGTTCTTTGCCCACTTTTTAGTGTTTTTTTTTTTTTTTTACTTGTTTAAGTTTCTTAAAGATTCTGGATATTAGTCCATTGTTAAATGCATAGTCTACAAATACTTTCTCCAATTCTGTAGGTTGTCTGTTTACTCCATTGGTAGTTTCTTTTGCTGTCAAAAGCTCTTTAGTTTAATTAGTTCTTCTGTTTTTCTTTCTGTTTGCTTTTGCAGACTTAGTCATAAAAATGTCAGCCTAGGCTGACATTCAGGAGAGTATTTCCTAGGTTTTCTTCCAGGATTTTTATAGTTGGAAGTTTTAACATTTAAGTTTTTGATTCATCTTGAGTTAATTTTTGTATGTGGTGAGAGGTAGAGGTCTAGTTTTATGCTATGCATATGGTTAGCTAGTTTTCTCTGCACCGTTTATTGAACAGGAAGTCCTTTCCCTATGGTTTATTTTTATCAATATTGTCAAAGATTAGTTGATTGTAGGTGTGTGACTTTTCTTCTGAGTTTTCTATATTGTTTTATTGGTTTATGTGTCCTTTTTTTTTTTTTTTTTCCTTACCAGTACCACGTTTTGGCTATTGTAGCCTCATAGTATAGTTTGAAGTCGGGTGATATGATTTATCTGGCTTTGTCTGTTCTAGCTGTTTTTAGTTCTATAAAAATTTTTGAATTGTTTTTTCTAATTCTGTGAAAAATGATGTTGGTAATTCAATAGGAATAGCATTGAATCCAAACATTGCTTTGAGCAGTATGAACATTTTAACAATATCGATTCTTCCAATCCATAAAAATGGGCCTTTTTTGTTTTTGTGTTCTATGATTTCTTTCCACAATGTTTTGTAGTTCTCTTTCTAGAGATCTTTCACCTCCTTGGTTATATTTGTATATAACACAAATATACACGGTATTTGTAGGTATTTTATTTTTTTGTGGCTATTGTAAATGGGATTATATTCTTGATTTTGCTTTCAACTTGAATGTTACTGGTGTATAGAACTGCTACTGAGTTTTTTGCATGGATTTTTATCCTAAAACTTTACTGGAGTTGTTTATTGAATCTAGAAGTCTTTTTGTGGAATCTTTACAATTTCCAAGGTATAGAATCATGTCACCAGTGAAGAGAAATAATTTGACTTCCTCTTTTCTAGTTTGGATGCCTTTTATTTCTTTGTCTTGCCTGATCACTCTGGCTAGGATTTCCAGTACTACATTGAATGGGAGCGAGAGAGTAGACATCCTTGCCTTGTTACCATTCTTGGGGGTAATGCTTCCATTTGTTGCTGTTTTAGTATGATATTGGCTATGGGTTTGTCATAAATGACTCATTATTTTGAGGAGTATTCCTTTGATGCCTAGTTTTTTAGGGTTTTAATCATGAAAGGATGTTGAATGTTATCAAATGTGTTTTCTGTGTCTATTGAGATGATTGCATAATTTTTGTTTTTAATTCTGTTTATGTGGTAAATTACATTTATTGACTTGTGTATGTTGAACTGAACTTGCATGCCAGAAATAAAGCTCACTTTATTGTGTTGAATTGGCATATATATTTTTTAATTGTACTTTAGGTTCTGAGATACATGGGAAGATCATGCAGGATTGTTGCATAGGTACATATGTGGCAATGTGGTTTGCTGCCCCCATCTCCTCTGTCACCTATATCTGGCATTTCTTCCCATGTTATCCCTCCCCAACCTCCCTACTCTCTGCAGTCCCTCCCCTAGCCCTCCCCAACAGACCCCAGATTTTTGATGTGATGCTGGTTTCAGTTTGCTGGTATTTGGTTGAGAATTGCTACATCTGTGTTCATCAGGGATACTGACCCATTGTTTTATTTTTGGTTGCATTTTTGCTAGATTTTAGTATAAGAATAAATAAGAATAATACTGGCTTCAAAGAATAAGTTAGAGAGAAATCCCTCCTCCTTAATTTTGTGGTATACTTTCAGTAGGATTGGTACCAGCTCTTCTGTATACATCTGGTAAGATTCAGCTGTTAATCCATCTGGTCCAGGGCTTTTTTTGGTTGGTAGATTTTTTTTATTACTAGTTCAATTATAAAACTCATTATTGGTCTGTTAAGGGTTTCAGTTTATTCCTGAATAAATATTGGAAGGTTGTGAATTTTCAGGAATTTATTAATCTCCTTTAGATTTTCTCATTTTTGTTTAAAAAGGTATTCCTAATAGTCTCTGGGGAGCTTTTGTATTTCTGTGGAATTGGTTGTAATGTCACTTTCACTATTTCTGATTTTGCTCATGAGAGTCTTCTTTTTACTTTGTTAGTCTAGCCAGAGTGGTCTATTGATCTTGTTTATACTTTCAAAGAACCAACTTTTCCTTCATTGATTCTATGATTTTTGGGGTCTCAGTTTTATTTCTGCTCTGATTTTAGTTATCTTTTCTTCCACTAGCTTTGGGTTTAGTTTGTTCTTGTTTTTATAGTTTCTTTAGATGTAAATTTAAATTGTCAATTTGAGATCTTTCTTTTTGAGGTAGGCATTTAGCACTATAAGCTTTCCTCTTAACACTGCTTTTGCCACATATCAGGGGTTTTAGTATGTTGTGTCTGCATTTTTGTTTTTTTCCAGTAATTTTTTAATTTTTGCCTTAATTTTCTTGTTTACCCAAAATTTATTTAGGACAAGTTGTTTAGTTTCCATGTAGTTTGTGTGGTTTTGAGAGTTCCTCTTTGTATTGACTTCTATTTTTATTCCAGTCTGATCTGAGTATAGGTTGGTATGATTTAGCTTTTTTTAATTTAATGACACTTGCTTAATGACATGCACATGGTCAATTCAATATTAGAGTATGTTCATGTACAGGTGGGAAGAATGTATATTCTGTAATTGTTGGGTAGCATGTTATATAGATATCTATTAGGTCCAATTGGTCAAGTGTCAAACTTAAGAACTTTTTTATTAATTTGCTGTCTCAATCTTTCTAATACTGTCAGTGGGGTGCTGAAGCCTGGAAACTGAAAATTTGACAATAATCTTTCAAAGATATTTTGTGACAATGTTTGGGAACCCTTTATTATGAGTG